TTTCTACGCCTTTGTTTTGTTAAATCGCTAATAATAATGATGAAATCAACACCTCTTAAATTACAAATTAATCAATGCGTAGACTAGACACGCACATAATGTTACGACTTATTTGCATACATGTAATTGCGTAACAAAGCAAAAATAAATAATGAAATGCAAAGCTACGACAAGTGATCGATATAATCCGCGATCATGAATGAATTAATGCAAAAATAAACCGAACAAACACGAAGAAAACACGACATCTGTTCACTTATTTGCAAAAATGACAGTTGTAAGATTAACGACAATGATATAGAAATCAAATCAGAAATTAAGTATCTTGGACTAATTCTCTTTCTTTTGATCTCTCCTGGTCTTCCCATGTCTTAGCGATCTCCAGTAAAATATTCCGCCTAACGTTTTACATTAAGAAGTTAAGGCACTCGGGTATAACTCAACCCCTCCTCCTCTTACAGTTGATAAACTCTTGCATCCTACCTATTCTTCTTTATTGTTCACCCTCATTCTATCCTGGTTTGCTTAAAAAGGACTATGTCACAATTCGTAGAATGCCGAAGATGGTCAGTAGGGTGAGTGATGTCCCCGTGGACCACATAGTTAACGTCATTGTTGGTAGGTATTTGAATTCGTGCAATAAATTTGCTAGAGGGATTTTGTCTGACTTAGAGCATCCACTTTACCCTCAACTTTCATTTTGCATCTCCTCAGGTAGAACAACAAGTAACTTCAGAAAACTGTATGCTCGCACGTCCAAGTATAGAAATTCTATGATACCATACTTGGCACGTATTTTATGTGATGAAAATAGTGTCAGGCAAGAATTAACTAACCTTTTCTTCATCTAGTAAATAAACAATTTCCTCCATCCATCCTTATATACCTCCTTCAAGTTTTACTTTTATTATTTCTATTATATTTATGGTCCTGTTACTTCTCTGTTTTACTCTCATAATTGCAAACACCAACTTATCTCCATGACGGCTGTAATCTTTGTTTTTCCTCTCACCATATCATGTAAAGAGAACATTATATTCAATAATTTTTAAACGAGCTAAGATTTCTATACCGCATCGACAATACTGTGTGAAAGAAGCCCACAGCAATTTTCATTTGTATTCTTATTATTACTACCCTAGCTGTTATCATTATTATTATTTCCATTTTATATGCTGCATGATTTTGACACTACCTCTATTGTAAATGTGGAAAATTTTCTGTGTGATTAGCTTTTTATTTACAATTTGAGGAAATTAGATGCAATATTGTGATGAATGCTGCAAATTCCATTCTGTATCACAAGTACTGTTTTTGGAATAAAGTAAATCGTTATTATTATTATTATTATAAAAAAAATAACCATACGGCGTACACATAATCTATGCTATCGACATTCACTCCTCTGAAATCACTGTGAAAATCTGGGGCAATCAGAGTATGAAGTTTCAGACTTGCAACACCAACGTCCAGTAAGTCAGTGCTTCTGTGGCGTTCAGAGAACTACACACAAGTATTACGAAAGAAAAACATTTCGAACAGGCAGGCAAGCTATTTGTAGACGACTTTGATTAACAGCTGTCTTCACACTAGCTCAATACTGAAGATCGAATAGTAGCTAGAAAGGATAAATAACAAGGAATTCAAAGAACAAACCAACCAAGAACTAATCATCTAACAAATATGTCAAAGGGAAATGGAGATAGATCGAAAACAAACATTGAGAAGATTGGTGAGTAGTCATATGCCTCTCGCCGTGTCGAGTGGAACCCGAATGGGAAACGACGACTCAGAGTTCCGAGGGTGCTATGGAAGAGATCGTTTGAGGAGGAGGAGGAGAAAAAGGAGGAGGTGAAAGCTTATGGGCAATTTTAGGGCCAGCTAAAGGAGACAGAAGAGAACAGGATGAAATGGTGGTCTGCTACTGAAGACAAGCGCTCCACTCAGAACCCAAGGAAACAATAATATGTCATGATAATATGTTTTACCACAAATAGAAAACAAGAGGCTCATAAAACTGATAGACTGATTAATATATGTGTAAAACTTGGCCACTGTGGCATTAAGTAATTCCATATTAGTTTGCTTATTAGATGTATCACACAGTCAGTGAAACAGTATTGTATACTGGATGACACAGTTTCGAACACAATTTATTGTTCATAATCATTTCATCAATTATAATCACACGACTTCGAAAGTTGAGTTTTCTAGTTTTCTTCGTTCTCTCCTATTTGTCGTCATTGAGGTAGTAGAATTTTCCAGACAACTGAATGGACAGGTGTTGATTCAAAGGCCAATTACACGTAACTTCAGTTGATTCGATAAACAAAGCTTCTGTTATCCATCTCTCCCTCCACCCTGCTATTACATTAGATTTTAAAACTGTCATCCTATCCAATCATCCTATAGTATGATTGTGTGTGATTGCATGTAATGTTATGGCTGAACTATTCTCTAGATTTTTTATCTAGGCTAGATTAACTAATCTGCGTTGTGCTAGGTTTCTATGCTTGGCTAGTCTGACTGCCCCTGTTCTACTAGTTTGACCTATGCATTTGACCTGACAATCATTCCAGCAGGGTATTATAGATAAACTAAATTGTTATGTTCTAAAGGCTCCACAGGATTGATCCTGTAACCGACAAAGCTTGTTTCTAATTGAGTTTGTGGGTGGTTTGAATGCCAGCCACTTTTATTCCTGCCACCATTGTTAAAAATTCTGCGTAAAATTTCCGAGGTTCATTGCCTGTATGGAATTACTACTGATGATTTAGATTCCTTATTGTTGGTATCGTCATCAGTATTACTGTTATTATAATCACTATCATTATTGCAAATACATGTAATAAGAATGATTCAACACCTGTCCGCCCAGATATCTGGAAAATTCGACTACCTCAATGACGACAAATAGGAGAGAACAAAGAAAACTATAAAACTCAAGTTTCAAACTCGTGTGATTACAATTGATATGATTACAAACAATATATTTGTTCGAAGCGTCATCTAGTAAATAATACTGTTTGACTATGTGATATATCTAATAAACGAACTAATATGATGAACTGATCGAGTAATTAACACATTTATAGCACACAAAGGTCAGTAAGAAACAGCAACAAGAATAAAGAGAATTTAATGCACCTGAGGGTCCGTAAAGAAAGGATGTGTAGGCAACGGTGAGAACAATTTCTAACCAATGGTTCTTAGAGTTTCGAGGACTCCAATTGGGCATTCTATACGTCCTTACACAGCTTAAAACAATGGTCAAACACGTCAGGGATCGATGCTAGGTATTGGTCCAACCACCCTTAACTCTTTTCTACTCTAATATTGCACGACTAGGAAGGTGGTGACTCGACAACCGCAACATGTAACTTAACCATCCATCTCAATCGATGAAGCTTCACAACCCCGTCTCTACTGATTTGCCCTCTTTAACAAACACTGTAAGTCTAACCGTCATATTACTCACTATATGCCAACCACTTAACAGTGGAGATGTCACCGAAAAACATCTGTGGTCAAAGACGATTTGCTTTTTCATGTCTAGTACTACTTTGGTGACTTTGTAGATTGCAAAACTGATATCTGTATGCTGAGATGATACACACTCCAGTCCAGACAGATAAAAAAGACACAACTAATTAACTAACATTCTTAAAAACCAAAAGAATTTTGAGTTCAGATAATAGAGGTCTGTCTGTCTGGATTCAACATAGAACTTGGCACCGAAGTGCAGCAGTTCGAGTTGCCACCTTCCAAATAGCACAGAGGTAGACAAGAAGATGAGTGAAGAGAATTTATAGAGTTTGACAGATATAAGAGTGAAACAGAATGGGTAATGGTAGAAAGGAATATGAAAGATTACAGAGATTGAATACATCTGCGCCATTGACAACGATTTTGAGCCATGTCACCTATTGTCTCCAGCCATTGATTCCTAGAGTCCCGAGGGCCCCAACCCGGGAGTCTGCATCTCCCTACCTGACTCAGTTTAACTGTCAAGGATTTCATGGATTGATGCCATGTTTTTGTTTGGCCACCACTGGCTCTTTTCCAACCTGAACCTATATCAGCTAATAGAGGTGTTGATCATTTGATCCCGCTGTGTTTGGTCACCACAAGGTAGGGCTATACACTATGAAGACACGTAAATCAGTGGCTTAAACATTCGACTATTAGAAAATAGGTTCCAGGTTCATAATCCCATTCCTGCCTACTTCAGTCTAGTCAACTGGGTAATACAATCAGCTCGCACCAGGGATGAAGTAAGTTGGCAAATGCCACTCAAACCTTCTGTATCCGTGCTGAAACCTTTTGTCAGTAAGTAATCAGTTCATTAAAGCTGATGCAACTTCATAAATAAGTTAAAGTAGTCAACACTCTCTACCACTTCATCACTCCCTGTCTACAAACTTAGGGCCACTGCAATCCAATCCTACAGTAGCATCTTATATCTGAACGAAGCGAATCGTATACCGAACACTCGAAGATTTCTGCTGACACTGTTCAGAATAATCTGCATTTTGTCAGCATCTTCTCCTAGAAGGATAAGACTATCACCTGGTAACAAGCCAATCCCTGAAGTGGATTAAGGTTATATCTAAAAGTGCATTTATGATCAAATAAAACAAAAATGAAGACAATGGACATCAAATGATTGCTTTGAGTAGTGCGCTGATTAGTGTAATATATACTTTCCTTACACACTCCTCACAAACAGATATTAACCAATGCCACACAATATCACGGCACCCAAGAAATGCAAGTATAGCCATCAGTAACCATGATAGTACCAAGCGTTTTCCCATTGACACTATAGTAAGCGAGACATTCCATGTCGCAACACAGCAATGCGTATGTAGTGTGTTATTTATTGTTTTTTACTGATAAGAAAAGTGACTACTCATTTTTTAGTTAGTAGCTAAAACTTAGAAGTGAATAAAATGAAATTAAAAACTGGTAAACAATAGTAATAATTGAGCTTATCTTACCAAACTCAGTAGAATATCTTCTTCGACACCAGTTTTTATAGCTAAATGGAAAGGTGTTAACCGATATGCATCCCGTACACAAGCATTCATATCAACACCAATTTGAATAAGTAGAAAAATTGCTTCACGATCCATATTTTCTATAGCAATATGAAGAAAATTACGTCCTGCAGTATCAACCTGTTGAAATACAAAGTAAAAATAAAAGTTGGTTTTAAGGATGCATACATTGATAATCTTTATAAACACCATGAATTTATAAAATCAACACAAAGGTAAATCAGAGATTCCTAAAATAAACAATACAAAACATAGCATTAATGCACGGTGAAGCCATTGACTGCTGGTTTCAACCGTGTGGTAAGGTGTAGACCGCCTTACTGAAGGCAGGTATACACAGAATTTTGCTAAAGGTGTTCGAGAATCTGAGTCTTTTCAGTGTATTCAACTGAAAGGAAAATCCTCCTCTGCTATGTTCACTGAAGCTGGTGTCCCCCAAGGTGCTGTACTCTCCCCACTTCTCTTCTCTTCTCTTTCTTTCTACATGACTTACCATCTTCAAATGACATTCACTTTGTTAAATATGCTGATGACCTGACTGTATCTTTGCCTGTCAAATGTCAAAGTGACTGCTCCAAACTAAATGGTCTTTTATCAGAAATCAGCCAGTGGTCCAAGGAAAACGGTCTAACCTTAAGCCCCTCCAAATGACAAACAGTCTATTTCACATTTAGGCATAAATCTGACTGACCTAAACAAACTGGTTAGCACTCACACGAGGTGTGCAACATAGACGGAACTCAAATAGAAACCAAGTCGGAAATTAAATACCTAAGCGTCATTCTATCTTCTCATCTTTTCTTATTGGTCATCTCATATCTTGATGATTTCTAAGAAAATATTCCGTCTTACCTTCTACATCAAGAAGTTAACATATTCTGGAACAACCCAACCCTTACTCTTACGATTCGTTAACTCTTGCATCCTGCCTATTATTCTCTAATGTTCTCCCTTAGTTTACCTTTACCTTATTACGCAGGATGTTAAAGGTCGTCAGCAGGATAAGCCACAGGGTACCACTTAACCAGCTTGTTAATATTCTGGTTGACAGGCACTTGGACTCATACGAAAAATGGGCTAAATCCATTCAACCTATCTAACTCACAACACCCTCTTCATTCACAACTCTCCCCTTGTATCTCATCAGGCCAGACCAGACCAGAAGCCTATATAGAAAACTATATGCCCGTACTGGCATGTACAGAAACTCAGCTATACCCTACTTAGCTGGAGTGTTCTGTGCGATAAAGAAAGCATTAGGCGTGAAACCTTTAACTTATCAAATAGTCAGTAGAACAACTGGCCCTCGTCTTTTCAACTCATATCCTTTGTAGGTACAACGTTTTCTTTCTCCCTTTTCCTTTTCTCTCTTTCTCTTTTTTCTGTTATATGCCGCTTTGTTTGTTTGTTTGTTTCTTTCTTTATTATAAACTCTACTTAAAACATTCTTCGTTCTCTCACACTCTGTATATCTCGACCTATTGTTACCGCTTACACGCCAGTAAATATGCTACCATCTACTTTTCTAACACCTTCAAACAGTCTGTTCAATTTTGGCTTTTCTACTGACATGCCAATATGTTGTTGTCAAAACTAACAGAGATTACCCTTAATCTATGTGGAATTTTATTTATTGTTAATGTACAAACTGGATGCAATACTGTAGTGAAATGCTGAGAATTCCATTCTGTATCACAAGTGATGCATTGGAATAAAGTGAATTATTATTATCATCTGTGTATTCCAGATCAAGGAGATTTCCCCCTCTTAGGTCAGTCTCTGAAAAAATTATTCTACTAGGGGAACATCTATCAGTATATCTATAATGAAAGTAAATAAGAATAGTGGTACTGAGTATTAACCAGTTCTCTCTAGCCGTTGAAAGACCAGAAGGGGCTAGCTATCCTAGACTACAGGTGTTAGCGATCTATCCCTCGTGTTAGATGGTATAATATCGTGAGTAAAATTCATGTTAAAAGTACAGTGTTAGGTAGCGAGGGAAAATCAATCGATGAGGTTGTGAAGCTATATCGATTGGGACGACTAGATCGTGTGTTAAACATGCCTAACTAACACCCTAACGCACTACAAGCGGCCTTAGCTCACACAGGATTAGGTTGAAAAAGATCTAGTCGTGGATAAACCAAAATTTGGCATCGATCTATGAAGTCCGTCGCTGTTGAGGCACACACATATTTGCAGACTATCATACGTACTGGGGTCCTAAGGACTATACGAACCAAAGACTTCACTGTTGGTGGTAGGACCCAGAATCGTTCTCAATGGCTCAAATCCATTAGCTTCATTCGATTTCCTAGATTAATTAAATCTTCCTGCTTCTCCAAGATTTTTTTGGGGACCGGAAGGGATGAAATGTGGCAGGTTGATGACAGCATACAGGAAGACAGTCAATTGATGTGTTTTCTTTAGACGGAAGCAAAAATAAGCACAAGGATATGGAATTTCCACACGATGTTTGAAGCTAGGAAAGAACTGTGCAATGTGACGGACTAGTCAAGAACCTATTATCACACGACAAATATGCTGAAGGAAATTGAGATGGTCTGGACATACGCTGCGAAGACCGCCGAGTGACACATCATGCCCCAGGTTCTCCGCTGGAAGTCGAATCGGAGAAGATAAGTTGGGTGGATGTGTGTGTATTCAAGTGATATGGCGGGGTTCGTATGAAGAGCAAATGAAAGTTTATGGGCAAACGAGGAGCCAGGATAAAAAGAACTGCAGAAAACCAGGTGAAATAAAGATATGCTGCTGGAGTCCAGTGTTCCACTTGGAACCTGGAATAATAATAAAAATAATAATAATAATAATATAGGAATAGTGAATAAAACTAACTTGAAGTGCCAGTGAAGGATCTTTTTTAATTAACATTTCTGCAATTACACGTTGGCGTAATTCAACAGCAACATGAAATACAGTATGACCATGAGCATCACGTATGCTACAATCGATTTGAGGTGCATTAATCAATAATTTGACAAGCTTTTCCTCTTTTGATTTAACAGCTAAATGTAAGGGAGTTTCTCCATTAAAATCCTAAAAAGAAGACAATCAAAATAGGATAAATGAAGCCAGCAAAGCAATTACCGTGGTGTGTACTACTGAAAAGATTTTATAAGTAGTATGTATTGTGTGACGTTTTCTGAAAGAATAGTCAATAGTGGAGCTATGGATTAAATGGCGAAGAGAAATACAAGATCCCTATGAAACAACAGACAGAAAGTATATGAAAAGAAGAAAAAAGAAGCACCATACAAAGAACATTTGCAAATGGAGATTTCATACGTTCATTCGTTTTCCCTGATAAGCCATTTTTCTACCACATACTGCCATGTTTTACCGTTACAGTTCGACCATTTTTTATACCAATAGGGTAAATGAATGTTTTATGCGCTATCCATACACTCGGTTCTCATACCATCCCCTTCCAAGCCACAAACTCTCATTTTCTCCTTATATACTCTCCTCCATGTCACTCTTGGACGCCGAACTCATGACTACAAATTCTATTCGGCGGCTTGCCTCGTATCTTACTTGAAGGTTATATAGGATAGCAAATCAACAGCCACTTTTCGTTTGTAGAATAAAATACATAGAACTAAATCTCAGTGTAATAGTCTTTTGACGCGATTTCACCAGTCACTTGAGAAAGGGAGCAAATCGGTAGACCGACTACATCTCTAGAAGCATAAACTCGTCAGAATGTTACCCGGATCACGTACTTGGTTGACGGGTATTCTACTATTGAATAACTTGCAAATGGTATAGAGGGATGGGGTAAACGGTTAGCTCTTACATTCATGTAAACATGACCAAGGTAAAGAAATCGGTGGTGCAATTTTCTTCTGAAAACATGCAGATCCGGTTTCTTCAGGTGGATTATGATGGTGCCTACCGTATGTAGAAGACGAATTCCTAGGTGCATAAAAGACAGTACCCTTATGATCAGCATCCACAGGTGTGCTAATGTTCCTTACTTAATCACGCAGGATGGTGTTTGGAAATCCAAAGATGAACATGGCCAATGTAACTAGATTCACAGGAGCATTGAAACTGGTGGATTTACATACAGGAGGCAAAGTGAGGTACAGGTATTGATGAGGATATAATATTTCTTCGCTTAGTTTATACAGTCTCCTAAGTATCTAAATGAGGGTTTCTGCTATACTGAAATTCGTGTCTTCCAATCATAATTACTAATCACAGATTGAAATATGAGTCTGTGAACTGAGCACACAGTGAAAGCTGATTTCTTCTTGAAATATCTGAAACATATGAACCCGTTAGTGTTACATGACGTCACAGTCCAGTGGATAACTGTCTGTAGCCAGTCACACGCAGCCTGTTTTACACTGTCTTTAGAGTTATGTCTATACTAGGACCTTACTGCTCATCAGTCCACTCCATCCTCCTCTGTGGCTAGCTGTGAGACCTGGCCATTGAGAGTAGAAGACATGAAAAGCTTGGCTAGCTGTCTTTGAACAAAGGTGTCTGCGTTCTGTCTCCCGTGTGAAGTGGTATAATAAGGTGAGCAATATTGTGGTTAGGCATCAAGTGCTAGATAAGGAGGGGAAACCAATCGACGAGGCTGTGAAACTATATGGACTGAAATGTTTAGGATTTATGCTACGTATGCCTCGTATTCCTCGACGATGGGCATTGTTAGCTGACATAGGACCAGGCTGGAAAAGAGCTAGTGGCGATCAAACCAAAACGTGGCTTCAACAGTCAATGGAATCCACGACAGTTAGCTTAAGCCAGTCACGTAGGAAGAAGTAGATTCCAGGTTGGGGTCCTCGGATGGTAAAAACCAATGGCTGGAAACAATCGGTGATATGCCCGGCTCAAAATCGTTCTCAATGGCTGGCTGGTGCAGATGCATCTACCCCTTGGGACTTGCAATTTCCAATGAAAATATATCGTTCTTCGTTAGTACTATTCTTTTTGTTTCATATCCTTGTCTTCTACTTTCTTCTCTGGCTTTGTGTGCTACATGGAGTGTGGCAACTCGAACTGTCGCACATCGGTGCAAAGTTCTATGCTGAAAACAGACAGACGGACTAGGCCCTTACCACCTTTAACAAACCACTTCAGAGGCGAACCGGGATGAACATTTCTCGTAGTAAAACTTTTCTAACCAATTTCCTCAAGGAGGAGAAGAGGAAGAATAGCTAGCTTGCTGGTTGCCTGAAGAAAACATCCTAGCACTGTCAACATCCCTATCTGTCAACAGTACTACCCACCTGCCAGTCACCCCCACAGCACTATGAACGTAACTGATTTTATGAGAACCCCTATACACAAACTACCTTTATAGTATAGTATGGTATGGTATGCTATTATGACATGCATACACATAAATCCCAGCTAGTGTAGCCCGTTGGACCATTGTGATACGCAATCCGACCATCAATACAAGGGGGCAGCCATCAGTCTAAAAATAACTCAGCAAGTAGTAGCTTGAATAATACTGGCGTATACTCTCTTTCAGATTGAGTTCAACAAACTGAAGATATCGTCTACAAACAAACAAACAATGAAATCTTTGCACAAAAAGGAAACACCAACCAGTTCAGAGAACACCACTCCTATACAAACTGATATCCTTTAATCTGAGCTGCAAGCCTTTCTTACTTAACACTAAACAGTTATAACACTGGCAAAGTTAAACTTCAAGCACCGCTAACTAACTACAATCAGTAAATGGCCTTGAAAGTGTTACAAAGGAGATAGCATCCTCTCATATGGGATAAAAATAGTTCTCAGTTTTAGGTTGATGTATCAACAGAGAGAGAGTATAATTCCATTGTGGATAAAATTTATTTTGATAAAGCTTCATAGTGTTATACAGTAATATTTACTGAGCAATAGATTGTGCTCGAAACATGGTCATCAGTAAATATTACTACTGTATAACACTGTGAGACATAATCAAAATAGATGTTAACCGCAATGGAATTAAACTATACCACAGTGCACAGGTTCTATTCTTATGTCAACAGAGTAATTGAACCACATTCTATGCTTGTAATTATTTAGGTCTTCTAACCCTCTAGCAACCAATCCTGATCTTTCCTGAACCTAATCCTAATGTGAAAATATCCCTAAACTAAGTGTAATCTAACTCAAACCAAACCTACTGTCGCCTTTCTTTTTAGATTAACCTAACCCTAACTCTTGTCCTTGGCTTAGATAGTAACTTAATCTTTCGCAAATCTAAGCTGAAACTTGCCAGAAATCCTATTTAAGAGCATAACACTTCGATAAGCATATTTTATTGATGATGACATTATTATTTGCTGGATTCCACTAACTTGCTCAGTGGGCTTGGTAGTTAGTGGTGTTCAAAGTTTAACTTGAAATGGCATCATAATTAGCTCCCAGGATAGACAACTGGATCGCTGGAAAGAGCATTATGAGGAGCAGTTTAATTGGCCCGCAGCCACGCTCAGCCTGCCGAACATCCGACACCTCCCTGAATGGGATAAAGACACAGGTCCTCCTTCCTTAACTGAGGTTACTAAAGCTGTCATCAATCTGAAACAAGCCGAAGCAGCAGGACCTGATGGGATGACTCCAGAGGTATTTAAGTACGAGGGAGACGGTTTAATCATTGATATAAGAGGTCAACTACATAGGTCAAACTAGTAGGTCAGGGGTAGTCAGATTGTCAGAGCATAAAAATTTAGCTAAGGTAAGAATGGTTGACCCCGAGAAGATAAGTAATTTAGAAAAAAGCTCAGCAATTGCAATGCATGCGCTAACACACAACCACACAATAGGGTGGGAGAGGGTTAAAATTCTGAAAAGTAATATAGGTAGGTGGAGAGAAAGGTTGATTACTGAATCCTTGTTCATCGAGTCTACACCAACACATGCAATAGGAATGACTCGTCACTCATACCTGAAATATGGAAAATACTATTACCAATCAAATCAAGTGAAAATCAAGAGAAAAACAATGGAACTATATAAATGAATTTAGGAAGTCGTGTGATTACCTTGATATGATTATGAGCAATAAATTGTGCTCGAAACGTCATCAGTAAACATTACTGTATAACGCTGTGAGACTTTATCAAACAAAATTTACCCATAATGGAGACGGTTTAATGTCTGCATTAACTGAGGTACTAGGCAGCGTCTGGGAATCAGAAGAAGTCCCATCGGGTTGGTGTATGTCACTGATTATCCCCATATACAAGAAGGGACACAAGTCTTCCTGTGATAATCACAGAGGGATTAGCTTGACTAATATAGTATCTAAAGTCTTAGGCTCAATAATCATGCGTAGACTGAGTGGTGCTCGGGAGGCACAAACACGAGAGAGCCAGGCAGGCTTTAGACCATGAAGAGGGTGTGTTGATCATATCTTCACCCTCCGACAGATTCTAGAACATAAGCATTCCTACCGGCGCCCAACAATCATCATATTTCTTGACCTGAAAGCGGTATTCGATTCTGTCGACCAAGAGGTACTCTGGCGATGCTTGGCTGTAAAGGTAATCCCGAGAAAATACATTGCAATGATCAATGCACTCACTCCACTCGAACTCATCCAGCCAGGTGAGGGCTTACGGCGAGTTGTCACCTGAAGTGGTGACAACTGCTAGTGTCAATCAGGGATACCCATTATCCCCATTTTTATTTCATTTCATCATAGATGTTGTAATGGGTTTAACCCTAAGTGGCTTCAAACACTCAGGGATTAACTTGTCACTAGGGGATAATGTCGTTGACTTTGAATATGCAGACGATGTAGTCCTTCTAGGCGAGGACGCTGACAAAATACAGCAGAGTCTTCTGAATACATTGAGCTGCAATCTACGAATGTTTGGCATGCTACTCGCTCCTGTCAAATGCAAGATGATGCTACAGGACTGGACTACACTGACTCCTAGTTTAGATATTGGGGGTGTAGTGGTAGAGCACGTTGACCGCTTCACTTACTTGGGAGGTACCACCAGCCGGTATCAACGGGTTGATCTCTGACGAAATCTCAGTACAGATACAGAGGGCTAATTTCGCATATGCCAGTTTACGCCGTCTCTGGCTTAGTAGACGTGATATCCGGCTGGCTATCGACCACAGCCGTGTGTACTGCTCATCAGTCCGCTCTGTCCTCCTTTATGGCTGTCAATGAGACATGGCCATTGAGAGTGGAAGACATGAAGAGCCGGTTAGCTGTCTTCGACCATAGGTGCCTGCGCTCCATCTCTCGTGTGAAGTAGTATAATAAGTGAGCAATTTTGTGGTTAGCCGTCGAGTTCTATGTAGGTGGGAGGGGAAATCAATCGACGAGGCTGTGAAATTACTTCGACTGAGATAGTCAGGACATGTATACCAAGTCATCGCCTTCCTCGACGAGCAATGTTAGCGAATATAGGGTCGGTCTGGAAAAAAGCTAGTGGCGGTCAAACCGAAACATGGCACCAGTCAATCAAATCCACAACTGTTAGTTTAAGACAGTCACGTAGGGAGTTGTAGACTTCTGTCTGTTTGGGGTCCTTGGGACGGTAAATACCAATGGCTGGAAACAATTGGTGATATGGCTCAAAGTGATCGTTCTCAATGGCTAGCGCGGATGCATCCACTCCTTGTCACCTATGATTTCCAATGAAACTGTTTTGTTCTTTGTTATTACTATTCCTTTGTCTCACACCTCTGTTTACTGTCTCTATTATGCATTTCTTCTACTTTCTTGTCTGGCTTTGTATGCTACAACGAGAGAGTGTTGCGACTCGAACTGGTGCACATCGGTGCAAAGTTCTATGTCGAAAACAGACAGACAGAAAGCGAAATACTGTACAAAGTAGTTTAATAAGAAAACAAAACCACTTGCCTACCTACCTGTTGGTTAACATCTGCACGATGACAATTGATCAGCACTTTAACTAGTTCATACATACCAACTAGAATAGCCATATGCAGTGGAGATCGGCATAAATACGGCATAAGATAATCATCTTGTTTATTGCTTACTTCACAGGTTAATTTACAATCAAAAGCTTGTGGCCATACATTGACATCACAATCTCTATTTCAGAAAAATTAAATTAAAAATCAGCAATTATAATTAAAATTTGAATAAAGCAAGAACTACAGTTTTAGCAGAATAAAATGGTACCATCTTTTATTTCGTTGCCTTCTCATCAGCTGCTTACATCGCAAAGACATTATTAAATACAGCTACAACAACAACTTTAACATACTTGCACAGAGTTCAGTTTAAACAAAAATCAACCGATCAATATACGCACACACTAAAAATATTTACACATATAAATATGCAATATTAACCACTATTCCGAACAATAATAATCAAACACACGTCCACCTCGTGACCCGTCTCAAGGTGATGCCTGGCGATGGATGCCACTGTTTACAGCATTTGTTCCCTTTAGACATAAGCTTTCTGGTACATGTTCAGAAAATCGTAAATATCCCCTTCTTCTTTCTGTCCTTCCAATGTAACTGCTCCCGCAGATACATGTAAATTTGTATATACACTTGGAGTTAACATCAGAAGGATATCTATCGATTTTTGATCGCACCAAAGATCAAGTTGTCCGATAGACGGGAACGAGCTTACCTGTAGGATAGGCTCTGACCAGTAATGTACTCAGCCTTCTGTTGGCCGTTGCTGCAATGTTTTCGCCCTTGTAATCAAGCTGAACGTAGATTGACTTTCTTCCCACTGTGATTCGTTTTACATTTGTGACTTCAGATCTGCCATACTTGTTGATAAACCTTTGAGGATACCCATTTCTCTTCAATATCTTTTCAAGGAACTCAAACTCCTCTTCTAGTTTCTCTATAGAGCATTTTCTCCTCGCTCTATAGTACAGAGTCTTGACTAGACCACGTTTAAAGCTATTTGGACAAAAGCTATTAAAATGTAAGTATATCGTCCTTTCTATGTAGGCTTTCGATAAATCGACTTTTGAAGACTCCCCTCTTCTAGGCGTTCCATGGCGATGTCGAGGAAGTGAAACTTTCCGTCACTTTCATGTTCCATAGTGAACTCAATATTGGCGTGTGCATCATTGAATAATCTTAGTTAGTGTGAATCATGACTATCATTTTTGCACAATATAAATGTGCCATCAACATATCGACAGTAGAAAGTTGTGTTCGCCGATTGCATGCTTCAACTTTGTTTTGTTTTTGTAGATATATTCAATAATGTTTCTGTCATGTAAGCAGATGACGAGAAGGCAACGAAATAAAAGATGGTACCATTTTATTCTGCTAAAACTGTAGTTCTTGCTTTGTTCAAATTCATTAAGGAAAATAAATGCATGAAATAATGAAAATTCACAAATATACAGGTAGTAAAACACAAACACCGTATATTATGATGTTATCTGGTTGATGGTAGCTTAACAGTACAGTAGAATCAAAGACGCCGGTTTCGTCCTGTTTTTATGACTCGTCATCTGAATGTAATTGAGTTCAGCGCGCCGCGCCCCCCCCCACCCCTTAGTGAGAGATGATCTTTTTACTGAGACTCGAACTAAGCACTCATCGTTTTAAACACCAAAAGTGTGACTCACTAGGCGCAACAGAGTCCCAACAGTTATTATTTCAACAAATAACAACAAACAGCAGTTGCACAAGAGGTGAGACTCTCGAGATCTTATGGCTTAGTGGAACACACACACAATGGATGGTGGATTTGAGTCTCAGTGAAAATACCATTTCTCTCCGGAGATGCAGCTGACGGGTTCCAAATCAGATAAAACGCACCTCCTGGATTCAATTACTCGTCAGTGTCAACAGAACAGCATATTGTTAACTAGTTAGATATAACAGTGACGCTAACTAACTAACAGCTAGTGGTTAGATCAATATTCTGATAACCAAACCCCTTAAATCATCACACCTCATACTACGACGGAAGACAGAATATGAACCTAATTTTTCATTGAGATGTTGTATTTTCTCAGAACTCTTGACAAATAACCTGATGCTACATATGCACTTTACAGTATGCCTTCGGCAGAAAATTTATCACCTTATAAAATTATTATTATTGTTCCCTTGGGTTCCTAGTGTAACATACGGCTTCAACTTCACGTCTCCACTTGCTTGTCTTTTGCTGTACTTTTCACCGGCATCCATGTTAGTCCATACTGTTTCCAATCCATCTCCACTTTCTCCAGCATATTTCTTGGTTCGCGATGGGTTCTCGTTTTGTTTGTTTGTGTCCATAGTTTCTTGTTGGTGATTCTTTCCGGCCCGACCCGGCCATCTGATCTTCAGTATAGAGCCAGCGAAGACAGTTGTTTGTTAATAAAGGTCTGCAACAGACTGTTGGAAATATTCTTTGTCACCCGCCCGCCCGCCAAGTTTCTGATCTGTATAGAAGAACTGACTGACTTGACGTTGTTTGTATTGAAAATCCAACCGAATTTTGTGGTTGATCCTCGCTGAATGACGAAGATTTCCATATTGGTTTCAGTTGGTTGATGAATGTGTTTCTCGCCTTCCCGATTCTCGCTCGATTTGACATCCTCGTCCGTTCCGACATCCTGTAGTTGAGACAATGCTCCCTAGATAAGTGAATGAATGAAGTGACCTCTTTCAAATCCCTCCGGTTGATGGTGAGTGCACTGAATGTTGCTGCTGTTGTTGTCGTTGGTTGGTTGGTTGGTCGGTTATTTTGATAATCTCCGTCTTGTCTATGTTCACCTGGAGTCCTGTGTTCACCGGACGCTTCTTCGACCAGTTTATCGGTTTTCGCTTGTAAGTCTTCGATTTTGTGTGACATAAAACATAAATCATCCACGCGCGAAATCCAGGTCTTCTAGGTTCTTCACGTAGGTCCAGGATATCCCTGTCTTCTTGTTTCCCACTGTCTGACACATAATCCAGACCACCACAATTAGGAATATCATTGGTGGCACAGTGGTTAGGACTCTCGCCGACCATACACATGGTCCGAGGTTCGACACCCCGCCGACTCACACCCGATATCTATGGTCGGCCTGCGAAATTTGGGCTCCCGATATCCATGCTGAAAATTCCATACTTGTACCAAAAATACAGTGTGGAATCAAGTTGTAATCAAAAAAATAAATAAATAAATAAGCACCCTTGTCTGACTCCTGTGTTTACTCCAAACGCCTCGCTGAGTTTTCCGTTGTGGATCAGTTGACATGTGCCGTTGTCGTACAGCTGCCGAATAAGCTTGATGAATATTTGGGGTACATCTCATAAAATGATGTACCTTAAAACTCAAAACGGTACAGAGATTCTCTCATTATTTTTATTGGTGTTCCCTTGGTTTCCGGTGGGATATCGAGCTTCAGCAGCACACCCCCATTTCACTCTGATCTCTCTGCAACTTTTTTTAGCTGGCTCCACGACTCCATATAACCTACCTTTCATTTCCAACTGACACGATCTCCCTCGTGGCGCTCTTGAACGCCCAACTTTCCTTCTCCCAATCGACTTCCATTCGAAGGCCTGCTCAGTGTGCGACGTCATCCAACGGTCCCCCCAATATATGCCCAAACCATCTGCATATTTTTTGTACGATAGGTTCTTGGTACGGTTCGTTCGCAGAGATCCTCGTTGCCAGCCCGTCATCTTATTTTCAGCAGCTGTTGACAACAGTCGGTAGTAGTCTGTTGGAAATATTTCTCGCGATGTGCACGCCGAGTCTCTGAACCATATCGAAGCGCCGGTTCGAATGCTGTCCCTTGTGCTGAGTACAGTGGATTTCCGCACACTAACTTCAGAGTACTAAAGATATCTCTTGCTTCTCATCAGTAGTGCCACCTGTAGTTGAAGACAATGCTGCCTAGGTAACTGAAAGAAATGAGTACATTACACCTCAACTTTTCTATGCTTTGTGCACAACTCCTTATTGATTCCTGTAAAACTTCTCTTCTTGTCTATTTGTACTGACAATCAATAGAAGGAGGATATACTAACATAACAATTGGTAGTAATCTGCCTTCTGGATAAAAAGCGTGGTTTTGAGCTTTCGGATAGCTAGTGCCTTGGCTATGCCTAGATTTCTTAATTTCACTCCCTTTGATAGGTTTGATTGAATCTTTATATTACTTTGAAGGATTTTTCGAAAGGCGCTGAATTTCCTGAATTGACCAGATGTTCTGTCACTGAACTATACACGCATTTTCGGTCTCCTTTTACTAACCAGGCTGGATAGTGTTCACGAGCGCGTTTTTTCAAGTCAGCGCATGGTACGGCCGATGTACTCAGCTCAACAAGAGCAAGTAAACTGGTATATATGAACGTTGAAGTGGCCCAATGCGACAGTTTGTCTTTCGCGTTCTGGCTGAACAGTTTCTTGCAGGAAAACATCAATCGTAGGCCTGCGGCGAAGTATGTTTTCCTCAGAGATTTGGAGAGGCGTTTACGAAGGATTTCTGCTTCGATATCACCTTTGAATTCTATATTAAACCAAAAGTATTTTCTTTGGAACGGATTGGACATGTTCGAAAATCTACTTAGATTTGAGATTCTTGTCTATGAACCTGGGCGGAAAACCGTTTTCCATCAGGGTTTTTCGGAGACTACGTAGTTCTTCTTCAACCACTTCCTCGCTGCATATCTTCCAAATCCTCGAAGAAAGAGCGTCGTATATCAGGTTCCTCTTTCTGCTTAGGGGCACGAAGCTTTGAAAGTTGATGAATTGTCCATTCCATGTAGGCTTTTTGTATATGGACCTTTACAGAGAGTTGTTGGCGTTTCTTGTCAGATGGACGTCGAAGAAGTGGAACATTCCGTCGGATTCAGTCCCAAGTGTAAAGTCGATGTTTGGGTGGGCGTTATTGAAGATTTAAAGTATGCTTTTTTATTGTGCCTTCAAAAACACTGATGTCTATTGAAAAAAAACGAGGACATCTCATCCAGTCTTGTCTTTTATTGCTATTTCTCATTATGTTCCATACAACAAATGGCAACTTTTGACAACAGCTGTCACGCGCATTCTATGTTCATATTATCAACATGAAACTACTTTAGAATCTAGAGTTCAAGTGACTAGATTACAAAAACATGTTCTCTAACAATGAAATAATTAATGATTATGAAGAGATCTCTGGAGAGACATATGAATTGCTAATCTAATCTAATTCGCCACAGCGGAAGATGTACTAACTGACCGATTACATAGTGCACTGAAAATGAAAACTCCTAGGTCTCAAAAATCTCTATTCAATATACTGTGAAAGATATAGTGTTCACACTCATCTTCATGAGCTGAAATCGGTTAGAGAACCAGTGAAATCACAACAGGGAACATTGGATAGCTAGCTAGCTGTCTTCCCTTCATTTTAGGACCTTTCGGTAGAACGCACCCAAGATCGAGGCCGGGACCTGCCCGTTGAGAAAGCAGTCTAATAAATATTCAGCCAATAGGACAGAATCCAATGGTACCATCTTTTATTTCGTCGCCTTCTCGTCAGCTGCTTACATGGCAAAGACATTATTAAATATATCTACAACAACAATTTTAACATACTTGCACAGAGTTCAGTTTAAACAAAAAAAATCGATCAATATACGCACACACTAAAAATATATACACATATAAATATGCAATATTAACCACTATTCCGAACAATAATAGTAATCATACACAATGGAAATTTTCCAGCATTACGCATTCACATGAAAGACAGATGAAAAATATCCAGTTCCCAGGGCAAAGAAAGACTGGTAACCGCTTCTTTCTGGACGCAGAAATCAGGTTTCAGGCGCTTGATGGAAATGGCTTCAACAAACTTAAGGAGAATTGAGCTATTTTGCTTATTGATAATTTTCAATGACTTTTCGACGTCCACCTCATGACCCGTGTCAAGGTGATGCCTGGCGATGGATGCCACTGCTTAAAGCATTTGTTCCCTTTAAACATAAGCTTTTTGGTACATATTCAGAAAATTATAGATATCCCCTTCTTCTTTCTGTCCTTCCAATGTAACTGCTCCCGCAGATACATGTAAATTTGTATATACACTTGGAGTTAACATCCTACAGGTAAGCTCGTTCCCGTCTATCGGACAACTTGATCTTTGGTGCAATCAAAAATCGATAGATGTACTCAGCCTTCTGTTGGCCGTTGCTGCAATGTTTTCGCCCTTGTAATCAAGCTGAACGTAGATTGACTTTCTTCCCACTGTGATTCGTTTTACATTTGTGACTTCAGATCTGCCATACTTGTTGATAAACCTTTGAGGATACCCATTTCTCTTCAATATCTTTTCAAGGAACTCAAACTCCTCTTCTGGTTTCTCTATAGAGCATTTTCTCCTCGCTCTATAGTACAGAGTCTTGACTAGACCACGTTTAAAGCTATTTGGACAAAAGCTATTAAAATGTAAGTATATCGTCCTTTCTATGTAGGCTTTCGATAAATCGACTTTTGAAGACTCCCCTCTTCTAGGCGTTCCATGGCGATGTCGAGGAAGTGAAACTTTCCGTCACTTTAATGTTCCATAGTGAAGTCAATATTGGCGTGTGCAGAACTGAATAATCACCAGTTATCTCCTCGACACGGGTCATGAGGTGGACGTCGAAAAGTCGTTGAAAATTATCAATAAGCAAAATAGCTCAATTCTCCTTAAGTTTGCTGAAGCCATTTCCATCAAGCGCCTGAAACCTGATTTCTGCGTCCAGAAAGAAGCGGTTATCAGTCTTTCTTTGCCCTGGGAACTGGATATTTTTCATCTGTCTTTCATGTGAATGCGTAATGCTGGAAAATTTCCATTGTGTATGATTACTATTATTGTTCGGAATAGTGGTTAATATTGCATATTTATATGTGTATATATTTTTAGTGTGTGCGTATATTGATCGATTTTTTTTGTTTAAACTGAACTCTGTGCAAGTATGTTAAAATTGTTGTTGTAGATATATTTAATAATGTCTTTGCCATGTAAGCAGCTGACGAGAAGGCAACGAAATAAAAGGTGGTACCATTGTATTCTGCTAAAACTGTAGTTCTTGCTTTGTTCAAAGTCATTAAGGGGAATAAATGTATGAACCATGAATTCCAGCCTATTCACGAATTCGACCCCGTCCAAGAAACTAAGACGACGAGTATCAATTATTCTCTGACTGAGATATCATTTTGTGTGGTCTAACTTGAAGCACCAATCAAATCTCCACAAACAACCAACACCAGTAAAAATAAAAAATTAATCTTAAAGAATTTAAAATAGACAAAAGTAATATATCATATTAATTATGGAACATACTGTTTAACAAGAAATATAGCAGCCTCTTCACTATGTTCACAAATAGCTCGATGTAGTAAGGTGACGTTTATGTTTTTCTCAATCAATGCCCATGAATTAATATCCACACCACAGTCGACCTAACCATCGGAGGGACATTTTACAGGAAAAAGATGGTTTTAAAAGCAATAAATAATATGACATATGATTAATACATCATTTATTAAACATACAAGCATATTTATAGGTAAAACTGAATTAGCATTATTAAGCAAATATTAGAGAAAATAGTTGACATTACGACAAGTACTGCTTTGTTCACTCATAACCATATATATATATATATATATATATATGTCTGATTTCTTACAAACTGGAAGATATGCGAGTGAAAAGCAACAAGTTGCCAGAAGAAGCATTCAATGAAGATAGGTATTCATGTGAACATAGAGAAGACAGAGGTAGGTGATGAAGAATCCTGGCCAACAGCAACACCAAAAGACAACAGTCAGCCAGCATAAATGGGAGGAACCTAAAAGAAACAACCTCCACCACCTACCTAGCTACGTGAGAAGCATCGTTTCAACTACAGGCGGAACTGACGAGGATATCAAAGCAAGAATCGGAAAAGCAAGACAAGCTTTCATTACTCTCAAGTCTGTTTGGATGTCAATAGTACTCATCATGAAAATGAAAATAAGATTCGGATTTTCAACTCCAATGTGAAGTCAATGCTACTCAGAATATGGATCAGAGACTTGACGCGTCATAAAGAGCATCTCAAACAAACTAAAGACCTTCATTAACAGTTGTCTTCGCTCAATACTCAAGATCAGATGACTAGAAAAGATCAGCAGCAGGGATCTCTGGCGATGAGCGAACCAACCAGGAACCGATTGTGCAACAAACAGGCAGGAAGAAATGGAGATGGATTGGCCATATGCTGAGGAAACCATCAATTGACATCACACACTAGACCATCGCTCGAGTTGAAGCCGTAAGGGAAGCAGCGAGTTGGTCGTCCAAGGATGACTCGGAGGGCGTCATGTGAAGAGAAGATGAAAGCATGTGGGTAGACTTGGAGCCCATCATCCACGTAGCACATGTTAAATATAATGCACTCTGTAATCAGTACAGTGCAGTCTGACCGACAGTTGCCACCTTGACCTGATGATCGGGTTTGCATACCGCAACGACTAAACGAGATACTCTGGCTGTAACTAATGTTCTCGGAAGTCGTCTGGATAGCGGACAGACTAAAACTAGTTACCATCATAGAATTGGAGAGAGAAAGTCGTACTGTTGGCGAATAGAGATGTAACAACATTGAATTTAACTGATAATCTACAGAACTCATCCACGTAGTTATTTATTATCACAGCAAAATTGTTACAACACGGTTTAGAAATACGTTTATTCACCAACTACCTATTTCTTTTAATTCCTTTACATTCCCAGTGGAACATAGGGCAGCTTTAAGCTAGAGGCTTGAAGTTTCGGTAGCGGTGGTATTTTATTTCTACGGGACGTGGGGGGGTTGCTAGCCAGTCTCATGCCCAACCTTCCCTCTTTACCAGTTTTATTACTGGCTTAGCGAGGTTTTGCAGTACGTCTGTGGCCGAGAATCGAACTCCGAACCACTTGCGTGTTGGCGAGCACTCTACCGCTGTGCCACCAACGCATTCAAAATACCTATACTTTACAGTGTTCAAACGAAGATTTTGATAACAATCAGGTTGAAGCTGATTGCTTAGGCATATTCTCACTTTGAAACCGAGAAATTAATTGTAGGATTTTTGAGAAACTTCATTTCATTTTGCTGAAAGCGTGAATCACATGAACGTTTCAAATAAGTTCATGGCTTCATTTGATGCAACCTCCTTGTTCACAATGATCCCAATCAATGAAACCATTGAAATCATTTGTCAACAGTCTGATCTTCTCCCACTACCAGAGCCGGAATTCAAACGCCTACTGCTGATGTGTACCATGGGTGTACAATTCCAGTTTGACAACACTCTTTACCGACAAATAGATGGTGTAGCTATGGGCAGTCCACTTAGCCCTGTTTTAGCAGATATCTTTATGTCAAACCTTGAGAAAACAAAGCTGAAGCATGCAATTGATCAAACAACTTCCTATTGTCGATATGTCGATGACACATTTGTAGTATGCAACAATGAAAGTCATGCCTCCTACCTACTCAGACTATTCAACAACGCACATACAAATATTGTATTTACTATGGAACATGAAAATGATGGACAGTTCCATTTCCTTGACGTCGCCATAAAACGCCTAGAAGATGGTAGCCTCCAGAGGTCAATCTACCGAAAGCCCACATGGAATGGACAATACTTACATTTTAATAGTTTTTGTCCAAATAGCTATAAACGAGCACTAGTCAAGACTCTGTACTATAGAGCGAGGAGAATATGCTCTGCAGAGAAACTAGAGGAAGAATTCACGAATCTCGAAAAGGTGCTGAAAAACAACGGCTATACTCAAAAATTCATTAACAAATATGGAAGATGTGAAGGCCCAAATACCAAACAAATCACAGTCAAAAAAAGCCTGTCTTCATTCAACTAGACTTTAAAGGTGAAGACATTGCAGAAATGGTCAACAGAAGACTGAGGACGTCACTAGCCAGAGCCTATCCTGCAGCTAAGTTGGTTCCCGTCCACCGAACAACATGCTCTTTGGTGCAGTCAAAAGTCGATAGATACCCTTCTCATGTTAACTCCAACTGTGTATACAAATTTACGTGTATCTGCGGGAGCAGTTACATTGGGAGAACAGAAAGAAGGGCACACCTCCGATTTTCTGAACATGTGCCGAAAAGCCTACGTCTCAAGGGAACAAATTCTTATAGCAGCGCTATTACCAGACATCTCCTCGACACGGGTCATGAGGTGGAAATCGAGAAATCCTTCAAAATTATCAATAGACAAAGGAGCTCCATTCTCCTCAAGTTTGCCGAAGCAATTTCTATCAAACGCTTGAAACCAGATCTATGTGTTCAGAAAGAATCAGTTATTAGTCTTTCCTTGCCTTGGTAACTGGATGTCTTTTTTCTCCCATCTGATTGCGTAATCTTTGTCTTTAACCTCACCCTCTTTTATATTCTGTAATTTTGCTTGTCTCTTGTTTCTATGATTTGAGTTCAACTCAGTACATTGTTACCTAACTTATTAGTCACTTTGCATCTCTCATCTGATTGTGTAATTTTGTCTTTAACCTCACCCTCCTTTTATAATCTGTAATTTTGTTTGTCTCTTGTTTCTATGATTTGAGTTCAACTCAGTACATTGTTACCTAACTTATTAGTCACTATGCATCCAACGCACATCCCTTACCATTATATACATACATTTATTTATTATTTTTTAACTTGAACTATATAAGCGCAATTTTCTGAGCACTGTTTACTAGTTGTGAAACTTTCTGTCAACATGTAAAATTTGCAAGTACGTTAAAACGTTTCTGTACTTAAACCTGAAAATTTATTTAGGCTGTAAGCAGCTGACGAGAAGCCAACGAAATAAATGATGGTACCATGTTATTCTGCACAAATCAATGTTGTTCTCGCTTTATTCGAATTGTAGGATAATAAAATGAGTGTACATTGAAGACAGGAATTATCCAATTTCCACTGTGGAAGTGTATCTAATTAATTTCAAAGTTAATCATGTCTCGGATAGACAAAAAAGTTGGAGAACAATAAAAAAAAATTACACTTTAGTGACAAACTGTAAAATAAGTTTCCCCCGAATTCCAAGGAGTTGTAACAGATAGCATTTATAAAGTCAAGTATTTTGCGGACATCTACTCACTCACTCGCTGACGACGTTGAACACTGGTGGTGCTATGTTGTGAAACAACAGAAGTTAAGGTTTATGAGCAGTAGATGGATGGTCGAATCAAATTATTGTCATAAGTCCATGAAATCTTCGACAGTTGGTGTAGACGATATGGTTGGGGTCCTAAGGATGTTATGAATCAATGGCTTGAGACTATTAGTGATACGGCTCAAAATTGTTTTCAGTAGTACAGATGCATTCACTCTCTGTATCCATGACAGCCTTATGTTCTTTCGTCTTACTTATTTCAGGCCTCACCAAACAAACTGGTTAGCACTCACACGAGGTGTACAACATAGATGGCACTGAAATAGAAACCAAGTCGGAAATTAAATACCTAGGCGTCATTCTATCTTCTCATCTTTCCTTATTGGTCGTCTCATATCTTGATGATTTCTAAGAAAATATTCCGTCTTACCTTCTACATCAAGAAGTTAACATATTCTGGTATAACCCAACCCTTACTCTTACGATTCGTTAACTCTTGCATCCTTCCTATTATTCTCTATTGTTCTCCCTTAGTTTTTCCTGGGCTACTGATGAAAGACTATACCTTATTACGCAGGATGTTAAAGGTCGTCAACAGGATAAGCCACAGGGTGCCACTTAACCAGCTTGTTAATATTCTGGTTGACAGGCACATGGACTCATACGAAAAATGGGCTAAATCCATTCAACCTATCTAACTCACAACACCCTCTTCATTCACAACTCTCCCCTTGTATCTCATCAGGCCAGACCAGACCAGAAGCCTATATAGAAAACTACATGCTCGCACTAGTAAGTACAAAAATTCAACCATGCCCTACTTAACTCGTGTTCTGTGTCATAAAGAAAGCATTAGGCGTGATACCTATAACTTATTAAATAGTCAGTAGAATAATTGGATCTCATCTTTCCAACTTATATCATTTATAGGTACAACGTTTCCTCTCTTATTTTGTTATGTGCTGTCATGTTTCTCTCTTCCTTACAAACTCTACTTAAAACATTCCTCTTCGTTCTTTCACACTTTTGTTACCGCTTACGCCAGTAAATATGCTAGTAGTATCTATTTTTTAACACCTTCAAACATTCTGTTCATTTCTTGCTTTGCTACCGACATGTCAATATGTTGTTGCCAAAAACTAACTGAGACTACCCATAATCTATGTAGAATTTTGTTTATTCTTAATATACTAACTGGATGCAATACTGTATGCAGTGAAATGCTGAGAATTCCATTCTGTTTGACAAGTACTGTTTTGGAATAAAGCAAATTATTATTATTTTTTTTA